CCGCATGTGCTCAGACTGACTGAAAACAGATCAACAACGTCATCATTGCCGGTGATGACAGCCAGGACTTTTAGATTTCTTGATATCAACTAGCATAATTGTCCCGGCTGGTTGTGCTGGGGAGGTAATGTACCTATGTGATTCTATGTCTAGTGTAGAACATGGCGGATGCATAGAGAAAAATGTCCAAACGAACGAAACTGATGACACTTATACCGAGCAATTTGTACTGTGGTATGCAGATGTCGATCGCATCCTGTGCCTTCATTATTGTTATAGCCATTGACCAGAGGCCAAGCGCAGCATAAATTTATCGGCCTTGCAGCCAAGACGGGCTGTTGTCACTCGAGATTGCTTGTAACGGTTTATCTACCAAGTATGTAGCGAGATCTTCTCTCTATCTGAAGAGCCACTCTTGTCCCATGTGGGGGTGACAATTATAGACTGCTCCTATAGCTCTATACAGGACATGTCACATCGATCCAGAATACGTGCCTAGAGACAGCATATCATTCAATGGTCAGAGTAGTGAAACCGCCAACTGGCAATCAAGTCCATGGATCCGACAAGCTTCGCAAATTGAAGCTTCGGAGTTAAAGAGTTCGGAACACAGCGAGGGGCTTTTGTCAAAGATGCGGTCTAGAGAGGAAGGGTAGTCTGAACTGACTGGCTTGGAGGGAACAAGGGTACGTATATTTCGCAGGATCGTGGCTGACTGGTTCCTTCTTAGATATCTCCCAGTCCCGTTCTGGAGGATAAGCCCGGGCAAAGATGAAGAGCAGGAAATAATAATAGTAGGGACAAAGTCAATGATAGGTTTCAGGAGAGACAAGCCTCCACGTTCTCAAGGCAGTCTGACAATATTAGACAGCAGCTGGCAAGACCTAACTCCATCCTCCTCCATTCCTCCACATTTTACCTTATAGTCTTTGAATTTTTCAATTTCAACTTGACAGCCTTTCTGACCACGTCATTGGGCAACGCGTTTCTCTGGATGATTATCTCCTTTTCTGTCCCGCTGGAAGATGGGATGGTCTTTCAGGTGGAGATCAACTGAATCTCAGACCCATCCGAACAGTAATTGAAAATAATAATAATAAATAATAATAATAATAATAATGGAGCACCAGACAAAGGTACCTTCATTATTTCAAGTCCCGATTGCTGGCATTTCCGGTTGGTCTCCTGAATCTTCGCTTATTGGACGACAGCTGGAGAGCTCCAACTCCAAACTCCGTCGGCTCTAAGATAGGTAGCTACTTAGGCACAATCGGTTACACATGGAACTGGAAGAATCACCTCACTTCTGATCTATATACGTACTCGACATCCCATCCTGTTATTCTGCTCCAACGTCTATCTTTAAGATTCATCCGTCATCATATTCCTGGTTCATTCATTCCCTTCTGATCCTATTTTCCAGTCAAATCATCTCGCCAGCGCGACTTTTCTGATTTCCGAGGTATCTCTCCACGGACGAATCAGCGTTGCCGATCACGACATTTCTCCATTCTATCAGATCATCGGCTAGCCCCAAGCAGGCTGAGACGATCCCCAAGTAACGACATCTCGCTTTATTAAGATGGGCTATTGTGGATGATTACTCAGGTTATCGACTTAGTTACCTCTGTAGGGACCGGCAGGCTTGGGGATAGACAGACAGCTCCAGCACAATCCAACGAAAAACTACCTTCGGCATCATCCGGTATCTTACCTTAGTTACTCTCCTCATTCCCATCCCAGTCGCATCATTGTCATCATCATCATCATCATCATCCAGCCTTCTTTTCTTCCCGTTACTCAACCCATTTACCGTTGTGTGTACGTGGCTGCATCTCCCGCGTTATGCGAACGCAATGATCAAGTGGGAAGCATTATTTTTATCCTTACAAAAAGCCGTGTGATTGCCGCATACCTAGATCCTTAACTCACCACCGATCGTCCAATCTTCGACCTCGATCATTCGTGGGCTCCTTTGTCAAAATATCCTCCCTCATCTTCTGAGCTTTCCCCTCTTCAGCTGATCTCTGGGGAGGCGCATGACATTCTTCTGGGTAGACTATATCTGTCATAATCTAATCTGCTCCCTTGTTCTTTGCTTCACTCAATTTGGCAAGAATTGGAGGTTTTAATAAAAACGAAAAAAGAATTTCCGAAGGAGCAAAAAGAAAAGAAAAGAACATCCAAGAAAAAAAAAAAAGGCCCAGGGTTAAGAACAAAAGTATCCCCACGATGTCTGATGAGCAGCGTCAGCAAACTCTTGCTCGTCAAGTGGCTGCTTCGAACTACGAGAGACTGGAGAACTTCAACTTCTTGCTCTCTCGACACGATCCAGCTGCGGCGAAGTCTCGACAATATTCCTTTGATGCTGATTCCGCAGCCCTGGCGTCGCTCCAGAACTTGAACATGGAGTACGATCAGACTGAAGGAATGGGAGGAATCTCCGTGAGTTCATACGATAGCATTGAGGACGAACGCAGTCCCATCGATGTGAGAGGTTACCCGTATCGTGGTGAGTCCTGAGCTTTTTGTATCTGTTTTGTACCTACCCAACTCCTATCTATCTTCCGCAGCCCTTGTCTCGGCAGATGAGCCTGAGAGTTGCATCGGTTGCGCCATCGTCTTGTCTTTTGGTTCGTTTCCCTATGTGATTTGCTGGTCATGCGGGTTTGCACAGGGCTACTGCTCAACCTTGCTTCGTGCCATTGATTGTTTTCCCGGGGGAAAAAGAAAGCTTCGTACCCTGACTGGTGTCTCTGGCCTTCCCCCCTTGTCTGCTCCTTCATTAATTTGACTCTGTCTTGTGCTTGCTCAACCGGGCTGGAGGGATAGTGTGCGTGTGCCGCTTGGGCGCGCCTCATGGGGAAGTGCCCATGTTGAATGCACGCTACAAAACCGGGGCCGCAGACCTGATGGCCAGTTGAACCTCATATTGGCAGCGGTCTATTCCTATCTTTTCTTTTTTCCTCTTCGTGTGTTGTCCAACTTGTTTCCATGTTCTTTGTCCCTGTCGACCCCAATTGTATTGCCCACTGTTTCTCTCTCGAGGGCCGCTGGGCCGCATCCTACTCGACGATGATCACGCAATCCGTTGCACCAATGACACCGTCTGCACCCCAATCCCTAATGGACGCTTATCCGCGCTTTACTGTCTTCTTCCCTCATCGTCACCACGTCGATCTCAGGGTTCTGATGCCTTAACGTCGATGCCTTCCCTTCTGATATTGCTTCCCACCGTCATGTCCGGTTTCTCCTCTCATCGTGATCAACCCTCACGCAGTTAAGCTTCTCTGCTATTTGGTCTGGTCAAGCTTTTGTACTCATACTGCATACAACCAGGGGACAAATCCATCAACTACTCGCTGCCAGACCAGATGCTGTCGTATCCAGCTCATCCGATCTATCCGCCCATCTATAGTGGCGATGAACTCGGCCACCCCCCAGGGGCCATTACGCCGTCGAGTGTCTCCTCGTCGATTTCACCACCCAACGGGCAGCTCGGCAACATCAAGTACAGCACACCCGTCGCCGGCGAATCCATCGCATCCGCATTAGGTCAAGAAGAGGAACTGCGCCGCGCCGCCGAAGAGGATCGCCGACGTCGAAACACCGCTGCCAGCGCCCGATTCCGCATGAAGAAAAAGCAGCGCGAGCAGACCCTCGAACGGACCGTCCGGGAGACGACCGAGAAGAATGCCTCGCTCGAGGCCCGCGTAGCGCAGCTGGAGATGGAGAACCGATGGCTGAAGAACCTCCTGACCGAGAAACACGAGTCCTCGGCTGGCCGCATGCCTCCGCCACCGACAGATAGCACGGCCCTGAATGGCAAGAGTAACGGGCTGACTGGAAGCGGGCAGAAACATATCCAGCCAAAAAAGAAGGGCGTGGGAACTGATAATTAAGCGCCAAAGAAAAAGAGTCCTCTCCTTCCTCATCACGCAATCACCTCTTTTTTTCGGATGAAATCATTCAGGGAATTTTTTTTTCATTTTATTGCATCTTTCCACCTCTTGATCGGTTCTTTGCATTTCCTGTCTTCTGATTGCTCCTCTCTGTCCAACCACAGGGACGGTGTCACATGACGATGTAACGACCTTCTATATCTCGCTCTCTCTCTGTCTCTCATATCTCTCGTCATCTTGTGTGTCTCATTGGTTTATTTCCTTTTACTTTCCAATCTGCGATCCAACTTATTGTCGGTGTTATGGGTTTTCGGGAGGATCAGGCTGTAGGGAGAGAGCGGGCCTATAACTCTCAGTCTCGTATCCGCCATCTCTGCCACATATTCAACGGAGTTAAATGTGCACATTTCGTAAATTGATCACTACGTACAAGGGTGGACGTACTTGCAGCTGACTGAAACTGAAATCATAAGCATGTATTGGCCCAGTCAGCTACCGAGGTACATATATAACCACTTGATTACTCTCGATATCATTCCTAAAGTTAAAGAACAATCCTTATCTCAGAAAGCAATCAAAGGCAGGAATAATTAGTGTAATATTACATTGTAAATTAGAACCTGAATCAACGGCCAGACTATACCACATATATTCGCATCAGACTTATAAATGCTGGTGCCCTTTACCAGCCGACCTTGACAATTGCTTGTGAAGTTGTATTAGAACCCAACCATGACATCATGATCGAGTCGGGGTCGAAAGCGCAGCATCTGAACACCAACAAGTGATGGGATCAAGAATGAGCGCCTTCCAGAGTTAAGTATTAAGGAGTAACAGGTAACCTCGTAGGTAGTAGATAAAACAGACGAAACAAGGTATTAGAAAACGAGGACAGAATCCCAGAGAGACAAACGTCACCAAGCGAGCTGCGAACTGGAGTATATGGGGGAAAAGAAAAAAAAAAAAAATTCAAGGACGAAAGCAAGGGGATTATACTACAGAGACCCAAGAGCAGAGGTGATAGACAACCTGGTTTGGTTTCGCCATTACAAGCGCCGTTGGCTTCTGCTTTTCTTTTCGATACACTTCTCCGCCTCTCTAGGCAGCAGCGACCGCATCTCTCGTCTCTTCTCGGCCCCGGGTCTCGACGTCCACGGTGCTGGAGACTTCCTCGCCGTCTTCTCCATAGCTTGGGTGCTGGCCGGCGGGGACCCATGAGTCCCGATCACCTCTCATGGGCTGGTCCTGCTCGGACAGGTCGTGACCCTCGCGGGTCTTCTCACGGGTTCGCTGAGACAGTGAGCGGGACCGCGTCGACAGGCTGGGCTTAACGGCCGCCTTGGACTGGACCCAGTTGGTGAGGGCCTCTTCGCAGTCCTGGATGATGGCTTTGCTGGCCTCGTAGCCGTCGTAACCCTGGCGAGTCTCGCCCGGAGTTACGGGGGTGTCATCGACGAGGTCCAGGAGGTGCTTGCCGTATCCGGCGATGATAGCGACCTTCTCGCAGTGTTCGCGAAGCGCATCGAACTGGTACTGGAAGGCTGCCTTGAGCTTCTCCCGGGTGATGTTGGAGAGCTGCGCCTCAGCCACCAGGGATTCGGCCTCCGCGCGAACCAGCTCCTGCTCGAGGACCACGATGCGAGGAGAGCTAGGGTCCTTGTACTTGAGCTTGGCAATCTCATCGGTGATCTTCTGCTTGCCTGTTGAAATGTTAATACGGGATTCTTTTGAAATGCAAAAAGGACCAACTTACGGTCCCGGCTAGGCTGAACGGAAGCCTCAATGTTCCGAATGCTCTTGATGGTGACACGGTACTGATCGTAACGATCGACAAAAAGATCTTCGAGCTCTCCGATCTCGTAGAGCAGGACACCAAGCTTGTCTGTCACATCAGAGACATCTTCATCGCAGTTTTCACCCCAGATGGAGAGTTGTTGCTAGGACACCCGAGTCAGCATTTGAAAAGACATGTGCGTAGGCCGACGACATACAGCAGCTTCCATACGCTCTCTAGCGACCATTTCCATGCTACGCATGACGTTCTTCTCCATCTTGACGAGCTGAGACAGCTTCCTAGCGAGATCAGGTCCAAAGGCACCGGCGGCATTCTTGCGGAAGGCATGGCCTGTTACAACAAATGTTAGTAAAACTATTACCTCCAAGAAATCTGACTGCATGGATCAACCCACCCAGTCCACCTTTCCCGAGCCATCTGTTGGTCTTGGTAGACGACAATGGCGGAGGAGGGTTCTCAATCTGCGACGCCGTGGGAACGCGCGTCTGGCGCATAGAGTACGTGCGATGCATGGTGGATGATACTTATTGACAGCGAGAGACTGAAGAGGTAGAAGGAGTCGAACAAAATGAGGATATACAGCGAGGAAGGGTAATGAGGTAGAGGTGAGTTCAAAACGGTGCGGTGCGGTTCACTTCAAAAGATTTTCTTTTGCGCACGAATGACGTGTTCTAAAGGCACAGCGGGATGCCACGGAAAGGAAGACAAGTTCAATGGAAAGGGGGACGACAACCGGATCGAGAAGAGCGTATGTGACGGAAGTGTAGCGAGTTAAGTTTAGGAGGGAGAGGGAGAGGCAGTAATTGACGGATGATTCTTGGATTAAGTTGTGGGGACCGAAATGTCTCGTCTTCCTAATCCTCCTGTCTCCAGCGAGATGGATCCCTCCTGTTCGATAAAGTAAATCGAGATTTAATGAAGGGAGGCGATGAGCAGCTCGAATGCTGCAGGAGGAGCTTAGAAGCTTTCTCCGTGAGGGACGAGAAGTGACGTCGCGATCGAGGGTCGCTAAACCCGATTCGGCGCTTGTATGGGAACTGTCCCAAGTAACCTATGAAGCTAGTTACCACTCGATCCAAAGGTGAAGGGATCAGAATGACGAGCTTAGTGGATAGATTTTTCGCTAGCCGAATTGACGAATCAGCAGTTTAGGGGCACTGTAACTACATACATCTATGCCACAATGAGTAGATACATTTGGACACGGTCGCTCACGCGGCCATACCTTGTGAAGTGTGCCTTGGTCAGCGATAGCCGACGGCAAAGAATCAGCGACGTCATCGATAAGAGAGGTCCGCGATTTGCTGATGTCATCGACCAGGGCAAAAATATGGGCAATCGGCAGTACAGACGGGGTTGACAACACAACCGAGTCATGACTACCTCCGGTAGTCTGATGATGATGATGATAGTATTGTTCCTCATAATTTCATCTGGTTCAGGGACATTTTGTAGAAGGAGCTCATGCATGTCTTAAGCAGTAAAGGATAACTGCGGAATCCATCATGCACGTAGATCAGACCGCTACAATTGATATTTACATATATTACTAGGTTATGTTCATTTGATTTTGAGACAAATCCAATGATACAGATTGATGCCTCGGGTGATCGACCCCGCCGCATTCGGATCACACAGATCCCTTAGGATCCTTGGCCGCGTTGATCCTCCAATTTGCAACTTCATGACGAACGGTGGGTCTTCTGGACCACCGGGGCAGTGGGCAACCATATCTACTTGGTCGTTGACCGTCGTGTCTTTCGTTTCTTCGGCGTCATACCCATACCGTCAGCATCAGCAGACAATGTGACCGTATCTTTAGCTTGCGCTCTCTTCCTTCCATTGGCTTTCTTTTGACTGTTTCTGGAGGTTGTTTGATCATCTGTAGAGCCATCTGTACCATTATCTGCCTCTCCTGTAGACGTAGGCTGATGAGTCTCCGCTCCAGCTTCCTGCCGTAGACGACTGAATGCCTTCTCCATTCTGCTTTGGCCTGCCGAACGCACGCGAGGCGCGAATGCACCGGCTCCTTGAGGACCACTGAAGAAGTTGGTGATGTTGGACTGAGTGCCCTCCAGTTCTCTGCGATTCATATCGCGGATGACTGGTAAAAGAACCTCATCAGTGCGTTCCTGGCTCCATCCAATCGTGGTCATAAGAAAATTTCGCAATCCATGTAGATCAGGAACGCCCCATTGGAATGGAGACGGATCTGTATCGACCTCGGGCTCAAGGTACGCCTTATCTACATGCGGATCGGGGAACGAAGGAGGTATGAAGATCTTGGTCGCAGTCTTTTTGAACTTTTTGTAGAAAGCTGTGTGCGTCTCGGGGACGTACATCCCCGTCTGAATCTGCGTCCACCAGTCACGAAACTCCTCTAGGCTGGAGAACTCGGTGAGAATCTCCAAAGCGGTCACCGGCCCGATGCCACTGATCCCTTCCGTGTAGTCGCTGCCAAGAAGGTGGGCGAGGCTGATGAGCTTTCGCCGATGAAGAGCATATTCTTTTTCCATGTCTGAGGTGAGATAGCACTCCACGAACTTGCCTTGGTTGAACATGTTCTTGTAAACGCGAGTGCCGCCAAAGAGGAAAATGTCGCTGTCGTCGGTGATGATCCCGTCGACCAGGCCTAGCGAGACCAATTCGGCGCATTGAGCTTCGGCTTCCATAGGCGCTGTAATATACGGCAAGCCAAAAAGGCTCAAGAGCTGCTGACACTCCGTAATCATCACCTGCGTCACCTCATCTGCATCTCGACGGTCCTTTTTCTGCTGGGATCGCAACTGCCTAAGCTCTTGCTCATAGTCAAACGTGCTGTTTTGTGGCGCACTGTTGTTCAGTGTGGCAGCGAATCGGACGTGCTCTTCGCCTTCAGCTGCAAGTTGTCGTATCAACTCTTCGTCTTCTGGGTCGGAAAAGTCTTCGTCATCCTCTACAACCACATTTGCTTGATCACTCTCAGCAAATGTCTGAGGCTCGTTTCCGGTCACCGTGATCTCTGTCCGTTTTGCGTCTGTCTGTATGGTAACATCTTCGAACTCGGGCTCAGGGGATGGTGAGTCATGTGCAACTTTCTTCTTGGCCTCGTTGGAGGTGGTTTCCTCATCTATAGGTTCCCGTTCAAACGTCGCTTCTTCTATTGCCTTATCTCTATCGAAGACCGATGATACTGCAATATCGTCCAACTGTATTTGCGCGGCTTCTGTACTTGAAGGCACTGAAATATCAAGTTCATCCGTCTTCGGTTCGGCTTCGAGATCGATTACCTCCTTCGATCCCGGCATCTTATCCACATCTATCACATCTGGAGATCGATGTTCTTTTAGGAAGAGATGGTCTGGGGTCATCGCTCTATCCCGATAATCTTCCAATGAGGTGTTGTCAATTTTATCGACGACAAATTCTTCATTCGGCTGCTCCCCCGAAAACCAAGGTGGCAACGGCAAGCTTTGCTCCTTCTTCGCGGTCTCTTTTTCAAATCCACCGGCGTCCTCGTCAACCTCTTCGGGAGTAGGCTTTTCCACCTTGGAAGAGTTCAATCTGATAGATTCAAAAGGAAGTGGACCGTCGAACGGATGGTCCATGACTGGACGGGGAGCTGAACTGGATGGCTTCCTTTTCGTCCTGCGGGACTGTGCCAATGCAGAGGCAAAGTCCATCTCGTCATCATCACTCTCTGCAAGACCAGGCGAAGTCTCCTTTGGCGGCGCAGCAGGCACATCGTTGCGGTTAAGTGGGATATCTAGCATGTCTTTGTCTACTTCGACACGAGAAGCGGAGGGCTCCAGAGACATTGCGATTGCCCTTTGAAGATCTTCGTCCTCACTGTCGACGGTGCCGCCAGGAACGTCATCGATGTGATGGCGTTGATGAGCCTCAGCGCCTTCTAGGTCACCGCCTTCAACAAAGAGGGAGTTATCCTCAGTCTCCTGGAACAACGAATCGCGCCTCCCGGACACACCGTTCATCTGCTTCCCAATCGATTCGTCGAATGCGTCTTTCTGAGGGAAAGTAAGCTTGGGAAGTCGGTTGAGGCCTTCAATAGGAACGTCCTCGAATGCACCATCATCACCATCTGAAGCTTCTTCGTGATCAAGAATCACTTCCCCTTGGCCATACCTGTCCACATCAATCGGTCTATCGGCATGGCCTTCACCTTTGTTGCCTACAACACCGAGCACCCAGCCACCCTCAACTGCATTGTCTTTGACGAGGACATATTCTCTTCCTCGTTCGCCGGCGATTCGTTGTCCTGAGTTATAGAATGCTTCTTCGCCGTTCATACCGTTCAAATTCATCAACCGCTGCGTGAGATCGTTCCTTTCCTTGACACGCTCAATCTGAAATTTCGAGAATGCCATGCGGTCTGGGAACATATTGTCCAATTGTTCCTTGGAGTAGCCCATACGTAGACGACTTCTCAGTCTGGCAGCATTCAGAATATTGTACCGATCAGTAGCAGGTAGACTGATGAAGAAGGGGCTGTCGAAGTCAATTTTGGAAAAGTCGTAGAGGTTGATATCCTCGCCCTGGTGGAACTGTCTCGCATATTCTTCCAGCTCCGCGCGAGACATAATGCGAGGGTCGTCTGGAGCCCCCATCTCCTCCAACGAAACGTGCAAGTCTGGAAGATGGTACGCATCCTTCTTCCTGAACGCTCGGCCTTGCCGCTTCTCTTTCTCTGTCAAGTAGGTTTCCTCAACATAAACCGGGTTGTCCGGCACCTCCTCTTCATCCTGTTTCAAAGCTGCATTTTTTTGTCTGGCTGCTTCCTCTTCTGCGGATCGCTGCATCTGCACTGCAAGCAGCTTCCCAGCAGTTCTCACCGCATCTTCTCTGCGGCCCTCCCGGCGCTTCTTCCTGCCGGCAATCGTCTGTCGTTTCAAGACAGGAGCCCCACCATCAAAAACAAACACCGGTTTGATGCCGAAGTACAGCAGCTTGCATATTCGACGGAAGAAACCAACAACATGGGAATTACGTAGAGCATTGCCCTCCTTGTCTCGTACGGCTTTGAGGAATTGATATATCCAGATAGACGCGTCAACTGCGAGACGTCTTTTGTTGAGCGTCTCGAGCTTAATAGGCCGAGCGCATGGCTGGACGACTGTCCACAAGCCCGTAACACCCATGCTGACAAGACAGCTGAAGTGGTACTATTACCAAGAAAGGTACGGCAGAAAAGGTAACATGGCCGGTGTAAAAGTCGCAGAGAGCGTTTACATTATATGCAGCCAGTTATTCCTGCACACTGAGCAGGCCGAAAAGCCTAACAATGTCGCAACGGCTGAGAATATTGCTGTTCGACTGACAAGTTCCTTCGCGTCGCCACCTGATGAAACTCGAAGGATCGCGATGTCACGTGAGTAATTAGGAACATACTGCCGATAAGGAAGGCTTACATAATAACCTCACTTACGATAAGAAATTGTGGAATTTTGAATAATAGTCTCGGCGCGGGGGAAAGTCGGCGAATGAAGCATTAATCAATGCGCGATTCTTGAATTAG